ATATATATATATATATATATATACATTTATATATATACATATATATACATATATGTATATATATACATATATATTATATATGTATATGTATATATTTATATATATGTATAAATGTATATATACAGTATATGTGTATATATATATATATATATATATCGAGACACTGTACTGTCGAGACAAATAAAGCGGTCCCGCTGGAACTGGTCTAAGTAAGGCACAATAGGGTCCTACAAGACCTGGACCTGTGGATAAGGGGCTATAGGCCTCCCCGATCGTCTCCACAATCCAGCGAGACAGCCAATGGCTGGTTAGAGGCTTCCCTTTATGGCCGGAAGCCCAGGACACCAAGAGTTGGTTACCACTATGGAAACCTTAGTCCTGTCCAAATAAACATAAAACATGCTCAATGGACACGGCTGATGTAATCATCTTTCATTCTTGTCAGCAAATGTTGGAGGATGACAAGCCAGCAGCTCCAGAGAAGATCATCTGTAGAATGAGTCACCAACCTTTGGCACAAAAACAGGATCAGGGTGCAGCACCACCTTCTTGTCATCCGGAGAGAATTGTGAGCATGATGCATGCACAGACAGCACATTGAACTCGCTTCCCTTGCCCATGTTAAGGCCAGCAGCAGGATTGTTTTTAGGGCCAGAACTTCTACGTCTGCATACTCGTTATGCTCAAATGGCAGGCCTGAGAGGGCTTCCAGGACTATGGGTAAATCCCATGATGGGGAAAAGGTGCTTCACTGTAGGATGCAGACGACAAGCGTCCTTTATAAACCTAAGCGAATGCTGCCCCACTGGAGCATCCCCAAAACCCACATGGTGTGCAGAAATGGCAGCTAAATAAACTTTGATGGTGGAAAAGGCTTTTCCACGATCAAGTAAGTCCTGTAAGAAGCAAAACTCAGGAGCTGAACACATCACGTTCCTGCTCCCACACCAACTCTCAAATACACAGTCAGGTCCTTCTTCTTTGTTGAAACGTTTCGTCTTTTATCCAAAACACTTCTTCAGTCTGAGGAGCTGCAACAAACTCAGTCTTATAAACAGCACCTTCTCATAGTGGATCGACCAGTTTGCTGGTGCCATCCAGAACTAGCTGTTGACATGCAAAAGGAGGACCATCAACCTAACGACCAAACGTTAGTGCCCCGAAGGCCTTTTGCCATTCATGGAGAGCAGTGATCCTTGCGATGACAGCATTATAAGAGGGGGACAGTTGGACATGGAGGCCTCCCACTTTCTCCACTGTTGTTGACCTTGTGGTTCCTGCTGGTGAGATGTGGGCTCTGGCGACTGGAACCTGGATCATTTGTGATTATTTAATTTGTGGCTGACATGTTGAATTGTGTTTCCAGTGATTTGTGGAAGTGATGCTGAGCAGGGATGTTCATTACAGAATTAGACCTGTTTTAATGCAGCCCTGCCTGAGGGGCCCGAAGATCTTCTGGAATGCTTTGATGAAATTTGAACAGGACAATCAGAGTATTAGCAACTATTTGTTGAGGAGCATTATTCTGAAATTATTTCATTCTTTCGACATTTTTTCTCAGACTGGTGTTCTCTGCCCATCTTTACTTGTGAGTGGTTCAAAATGCTCTTGTAACACCCGGTGCTTTTACTGACCTGCTGCCAATTAAACTAATTCTTGGCAAAATTCTCCTCCAGCTGTTTTTTTTTTTTCAACTTGTTTCAGAAACCACAGTGGGGTCCTGACGCCAACTTTTAGAACCACTATTGTACTGTAGTACTGTAAAAAGAAAAGTGCTAAATCATCAAATCAAATAATAATTTAACTGGAAGTGGCAGAAATGAAGATGCTGGGGTGTTAGAAGTGACAAGGATGGATAAAATTAGGAATGAGATCATCAGAGGTACAGCACAGGTTGAACAACTGGGAGATAAAGTTAGAGAGACCAGACTGAGATGGTTTGAACATGTCCAGAGGAGGGACAGTGGGTATACTGGTAGAAGGATGTTAGAAATACAGCTGCCAGGAACAACACAAAGAGGAGATATATGGATGCAGTTAGAGACATAGAGGTGGAGTGAGGATGCAGAGGACAGAGATGGAGGAGGATGACTCGCTGTGGAGACCCTTGAAGAGGGAAAAGCCGAAAGAAAAAGACCATCTGTAACGGCAGTTGTTATTTTTTATGTTTCGCCACTAGATGTCGCTGTGGTAATATTAATACCGTGGAGAAAGTTCATATAGCGCCTTGTTTTTTTAAGGGCTTGGTTTTCTGTTTTTCAGCATTTTTCACAACACTTATGAGAGGAAAGAATTAATATTATTTGACATTTAAGAGAAAA